AGGGGGAAAGAAGCTACCCAGAACCCACAATGGTTAGTTAATCATGGCAACAGGCCGCTGGGTTAACACGAGATGGCAAGCCATGCTTGTGAGGGTCATTATGCAGATCTCCCCAATGCAGACATTTTGCAGGAAATAAGCCTCCATGGTCGTGTGAAGAGGCCCACTATCTTATACCTCCATGAAGACTCCTGCTAGACTTCAAACTGTCAGTGTAATATCAATGGCAACACTGCTATTCTCAGGTGTAGCTACTCTTTCCCATTTTCATTGCTTATGGGCTGCCAGCCCTAACATTTCTTGTGCTTGGGGACAGGAAGGGGAAGACACAACAGGAACGAGAGCTTGAAAGTAACAGTTTTGGCAAGCTGCACTCTTTAGTGACTGCAATGTTCCATTAACACAATGTTCTATTAATACAAGAAACCATCAGATAATGTAAAAACAAACAACTCTGGCCATAAGCACTAGACTATTACTTACTGCATCCTTTCCCATCCTGGTGACCTTTATATATCTTGGATTTCAGCTCCCATCAGCCCCAGCCAGAATGGGCAGTGATCAGGAATGCTGAAAACCATTGCCCAAAACATCTGGAGGGCACCAGTTTGGAAAAGGCTGATTTATTGCATCAATACCTGGCCCTTTTGCAAGGGCTACTTAAGTACCCTCCATTTCTCAACAAGGTTTTCCATTTGTGCAAGAAACAAGTGTGTGAAACTGCGTGGGCAGATCATCCAAGCAAGCACATGGAGGCTCTGACAACATAATGGGAAATCGGCAGAGAGGGGGAGATCAGGCAGGCTCTCACACTCCCTGCTCACCCTCTCCTAATTTTAGCAGTGGCAAGACCACAGATGCATTAGAGCAAGCCCTAATAGGGGTATCCAGTCCTGCAACCACAGTTCATATGCGGTGTGCATGTGTCTGATACTGACAGCCTCTGCAGATTAGTTCACAGATCTCTCTGCACGCGGATAACCCCAGCGAGCCAGGAGCATCCTTTGCCTTCATTCTGGATCAGCTGGTTTGGGAGCTACAGAGGCTTCATATGAAACTGTCTCTTCCTCCTCCCAAGACACAGCACATTGCCATGCTCCAACTCTAACCATGGAGGAGAGGTTGCAAGTGCCGCCCCTTAGAAATGCCCCCAAAGCATCCATGGGATGCTGCTCATCAGAGTGGACTGCTGGCACTCCAAATTGGCAAGCGTTTAACCATTTTGCTGTATTCTGAACCACCTTGCAGGAGCATAGAATATGGTCGGATGGGTCAAAATGGAGATAGCAGCAAGAATTCCTGCCTAAGGCTCTTCGTGAACACACACACACACACTCTAATCCCCGGTGATGGATAATGGGCTGGGACACACTTTAAAAAGTCTAACTAATCCAAGCATTTGCCAGAGTGCTTTTAAAAGCTCCAAATGAAGAAGATCCCATCGCTCCCTTAGCACCTCTTTCACTCTTACAATTACAAGCGCATCCTAATGAACAGCCTAAACATGTGTGGCTCCAGTTTGAACCCATATCCTTCCATAGTTGACATGGAGATGGAAAACCTTTCTGTATTTCAGTTAAAACACGATCCTGCACATGTGTCTACTCAGAAGACGACAAGTGAGGCTTCCCCAACCTGCCCTCCTCCCGAAGTATTGGATTCCACTGTGGCCATGCTGGCCAGGATGATGGGAGCTATAGTTCAATCCATTCTTAGTCACCATCCGTTCCATTCTCAGCCGCCTTTTCTCCCAGCTAGCCAAACCCAGCAATTCTCAAAGCTTTGAGCAAGTTCTACCACAAGCAGAATAGCTTCTCTCCATTGGCTCCTTTCCCATTCCTTGTAGTGCGTTATACAAAGCATATTTGTACTGCATGGCATGTAATGTTCATTTGATAAACTGTCAGCAAACTTCCCAAGAGCAGCTACTCCTAATCCATTATTTGGAAAGTGCACCTGTTTGGGAAACCACTGGTCCAGAGCTGATTCAAAGGTGCAGTGATGAGTGAGCCAGCTTCTTTTCAGTGGCCACACAAAGAAATGGGCACTCAGATGAGATGAGAGATGGCTGAGGAAAGCCACTTTGCCACTGGATAGATCACACACACTCCTGTGCAATTCAGTAGCTATAGGACAAAAGCATTGGCACCTTACTCACAATGGCCCATTCAAAGACGACCTTCTGGGTTGAGGACCTCAGGCAGTCAACATCCACAGCTTTACAATGAATTAGGTGCATGCTAACTCAGCTTTCCCCAGATGCACTGGACTACAACTCCATCACCCACAGCCATAGGCTAGGTGTCCTATAGACAATGGGAGTTGTGGCCCAACAATCTGGAAGGCATCAGTTGAAGGACATGCTAACCAAAGCTTGTCTCACTCCTGCCACACACTGCACTTGATCTTTGCCAAAAGGCCCTACACTTGCTTATGGAAACCATTCCACTGTCCTCCAGTTCAGAATGTTTGATGCAGAACTCTTCCTTCAGTTTCTTCCCTTTACGTCACCTTTCCCCCCCAGCCAAGATAAACAATCTCTCTCCCCCTCTCTCAACTTTCAACATCCCTCCCTTCGCAAATCTCAACTTGCTCAGTTCTTCCAGCTTTTTAAAAAAGTCGTATTATCAAAACTTTCCTGAAATCAAACTTTCAAATTCACTCTGCCTCCAGCTCTGTGGACCTACCACAAATCAGCAACCTTGTGTATCCCAGGCTAAACATTGGGGGATCCAGCCTGCCATTTCCCCCAAAGGCATTCATGTTGTGTGGAGTGTTAGACCATTTTAGTTACACCAGGGACAGCAAAGAGAGCACTCAAACAAGCAAACCTGCACTAGTTACAAACTCCATCAAGCTCAGAGTATGGGTTGAGTTGTATTGCTGTTGAAATACAAGTTATGGTGTTGTCTGAACCCAGCTGAGAGAGAACAAATCATGAACAACAACTCAACAGTTCACAACACAACCACAAAATGGGTTCATGGGCTGTTTGTGATAAGCAAGCCATGGCTTATTACTGAGGCTGAGCTCAGATAACATAACCCACAGTTCAACCACAATCCACACTCAATGTTGTCTGATTCCGGTCATTACCTTACCCACTCTTTATGACACAGCATTATGAAGCATAACAAAGAATGAGCAAAGACAGTAGCTTACTTCCCCATGTCTTGGCTGTATTTGCATAATTACCCCTTGCTGGCATGGCTTGCTTTGATGTGTGAACCCAGTGAGGGTGGCTTGTTGCCATGGTCAGCAAGCCTAGAATTTGTGGACTGTTTTAGGGGCAGCTTGTTAAGCATGGTAAGAAGCCAGATTCATTTGCAGCAATCTACAACAATGAGGAAATTATGCAAGTCCTGGTAACATGCACAGCTCAGGAAATAAGTCACTGTTGCTTATTTCCCCTGCCATGATTGCAATAATGGGTCAATGCAATGATTAAATCCTGCACAGTTGTTTTCATGGAATGGATGATGTGGGAAAAGGGAATGCTTGTTCTTTCAAAGAGCCTCAAAAAGTGGCTTGGGAAGACGGGAGAAAGAGGGAAAAGAATAAGAACAAGAACAAGAAAGAAAACAAGAGCAGCAACAGGCTATGCTAGTGACGCTGTAGGTTTATTTTAAGACACTTTGGAAAAGTGGAAGGAACTCTATGACTATATGAGTAAAAAGGAGGAAGTGACATGTGGACTGTCACATTTGTCAGACAGAAATGTCAGAAAGCCACGGAGCCAGTGTTAGAAGAAATTTAGATGGTGATGGAACTGCTGTCATTAGAAAGTGTTATCTTAGGCATTAACCCATTTGCTTATTTTTGTTGGAAGCACAGCAAATACACTTCTCATTTGCATTTGCTGCCATTACGACAGCTGAGCCCGTTTCATTCGATTAGTGTAAACTTCAATCATTTCTTGGTTTTGTTAGCAGCCGTCCTTACAGGACTTCAGATCCTCAGCTTTTCTATCTGCCTGCCTACCTGTTTTGTCTGCTTCAGAATGGAGACTGATTCCTCACAACTGGAACCTGCTAAAACACATTGGTCTGGCAGATTCCTGATCAGGGTTCCAGCTGGCCATGCTTCTTTCCAGAATAGTCTATTTCTGCTCCCCTCCCTGCAGCTTTCCATTCACTTCCGCCAGGTAGCATTCTGACACTTCAAGAATGCTCAGCCCTTGTTGGGTTGTGGTTGTTTCTTACTTCTCCCATAAGGGTTTTGCCTGGTTTTTAATTTCTGTGACCCTTGGGTTTCCTCAGTCTTATTGCTACCTCCTTCTTGTGCATCATTGACGGTACTGGCAACGTGTCCAGCTGAATGACCATTAAAGAGCATCACCTTAAACTAACTGTTTGCTTAGTTATCACGTCTTTAAATGATTCACGCATTCAAGGAAAACCCCACGGCCTGTTCCTTCTTCCAGTAGCATAGTGGGCACACTGCTTTGGGTCACACAGAGGATCAGATATGAGACTGCGGAGATGACTGCTTGCTATAGAGGAAGGGCAGGGAATGGTTTAAAACACCAACTCCATCAGTCTGAGATTTACAAATTTTCACAACACCCTGTTTGGATCTTGGACCTTCTATGGGCACAACCAAGACCATTCCAAAATTACCTTTAAAATGAGGGCTAAGAGTTAATAACCTTTTCCCCATGTGCCCAACAAATGTCATGGGTTCATAGGTACAACAAAGATGGGCAACGCATCGCTTCCAGAAGTTTTGGCCTACAACTCCCATGACCCTTCATTGGTGGCTATAGTGGCAAGGGCTGATGGGACCTGGAGGCCAAAACATTTGGAGGGCCACACAAGCTGCCCAAGCAGGCTTCCCAGGGCCAGGTAGCTCATCCCTATCCAGCTACACATTTTCTTCTTATCTCTTTCCTAAGTAAGCAAAGGGTAATATGCAAAGGACAGCCAAGAGCAGAAAAGTCTGCTGAAAATGACTATTTGTTTGAATGTGAAGTGCCAAATCACAAAAGAATTCTCCAGTGATTCCTTAAGAGCCATCTTTATATATGTAGAAATCAGAAGAAAATTGACACTTTTTGGAGAGCTCTTTAAAGTACTTTTGCTGAAGTGGCTCGTGTATCCAAACACATGAATGTGAAAAAGGCTTAGGAGAAGCCAGAATATGTACTTTCTTTTTAACAAGTTGCTTGTGTGCTTAGAATAAAATATCAAACTGATTAATACCAAGAGATTGCATCTTCCCAGTTATTTTTGTAGCTACATTTCTTGGCTTTAGAATCAATTATACATACTTGTGCATGTTTAAAAGCAAAGTATGCTTTAACTTGGAACTGTAGGCTGTGATCACATACACGTGTGCCTGATCATTGCATGCAATGTTGCTTTCATGCCATTTCCTACACCCCATCTTCTACATTCTGTGCATTCCATGCAGGAAACAAGTCACGTGTGAAAACAGCCGTTACAAGCCATTTTACCTTTAATTGGGAAAAAGCAAAGATCATTTTCACTGAGATCTGTGCAAAAGCTGCCATTTCCTTATAGTGTACCTCTGTGAGAGTGAAGGGAATTTCACATGGATTCGCTTTGAAAACAGAATTGACAGGATGGTTATACGCTTCCTCAAATTCACACAGCTTGGGGTGGGTGAGTGCAGATTTTGGTGCAACCATCTCCATGTCCTGCAGCCCACAAAAATCTGAGTGGAAACACCATCACACTGAGGAACTGTGGTGTGGAGAGAAGCTTTTTCTGATGCTTTGGAAAACAATACAATATCTCCAATAACCACAAGACTGATTCCAAGCACGGGTCTCTGGAAACCATTGAATGCTCATAATGTCAAGCAGTGGTAGCCATCCATTTTTTTCCATTAATTCACATGTGCCTGGGATGGCTTTTTATCGGGAATGGATGCGTAACAGGCAGAAATCAGCAGAGGAAGCTGATTCCAGTCCTACAGTGCTGGATGAGAAACACCTTGCCTGTCAATTTCTGCTTTGCAAGAAGGTGGTCTGGGGCCTCTACTGAAGGAAAACAGTGTACTATAAGTTTCCGTGGCCCTTTCACATTGTAATATAGCAGTCGCTGTCCATGGAGTCACAGGGCCAAGTTTAACCTGGCGCAGTTAAAGTCTAAGTCTCTCACAGTACCCCTTTTTGTGACCTGGTGATAAACCTGAATTACAGAACACTACATCGAAAAAGCTGTGAAACTTGGGAGAACATTGGCAAAACTGTCACACAGACATGCTTGTGCAATATTAGAGACTGCCAGCCGTCCTAAAGGATTCATAGCAACCTGGGTTGGATAGGGTGAAAAGTGCTTTCTGCTGAAAGGAAGCAAAGTTTTCCTTCTTCTTTTTAAATTAATCCCCTAGAGAATACTTTACCCTTTAGTATCATACATACATTCCTTTTGAAGGAGCAAAACATCACAGATCTTCCTGTAGCTTCAGTAGCACAACTTGAGCTAAGAAATCAATGCAACACAGCCAGTGCCAGTGAATTAAACCTGGGCATGCAGCGCATTTTGGGGAGGGTGAAGGAAGGGACAGCTGAAAAGATGTGGGCCTCAGCATTGTCTTGGGGGTGAGGGGAGGAGAGGGAGGGGAATTGGCACTAGATATGTTTCTGTTCTCTTTTATCCTTGAATCTAGAGGTAGTGTCATTTTTGTCCAATATCTAAAACAGTGCAAATCCAGTCACATGGTTATTTCATTACAATCCCATAAGTCTCTTTGACCCCACCCCAAATGGTGAAAGTGCATGAGAAACTGAGCAAGCTGAATTATGATCCACAGACAAAGTGTACCAAACCTCATATAAACACGGCCTGTGTATCCACACAAGTTTATATATATATATATAATATATATATATATATATATTTATAGGTTCATTTACAGTAGCAGAGCAAGATTTTGATCCAGTGGCATCCAATCAGGTACAAGTCTCTGCTTGTTCCTCTTCCCGCCCAGATCTTCAGTTTTTTATTTCCAGGATGGAGGGGTTATGGTCTAGGATAGCTAGGATGATCTTGTCCATGTATTGGCGCAGTCTGAAGTTTATCTCCTCCTGCTCTTTAAGGGCTTCCATGAGCTGAAACAAGAAAGAAAGGGGCTAAATTAAGGCACTCCTTGCAAAGCATCCCCTATTGCAGATAACTCACTAATCACAAACACTGTAATCATGTGATTATTGTCTACTTTGAAGGGTAGGAGAAGAGGAAAAGTGGCTATTTCTCCATCTTCCCCACCGCTCCAGCCTGCCTTATACTGAAACTTGAATTTACTCCTCCTGTTTTTAATCCTCCCAGAGACAAATATTCTCTAGGTGGATTACAGATGCTTTGAAGAATGCAATGCAATGCAATGGAATACAGTCAACAGCACAGAACCGAGAACTTTCTAAAACGCCTGGGAGATGATAATACTTTTTGCTGGTGCCAAAAAGATAGCAGTGCCAGCCCCCCCGCGCCCCCCACAAGGGAGGAATGTCCATCAATAAGGTGCGACAACTGAAAAGGCCCTCTCCCTCATATCCCCCTACCTACCTTCTTTGGTGGGGGGGGGGTGTGGGGGAGATCCACCATTCCCCTTTGGCGAGAGAAAGGGGCAGCTGAGGCCCATCCTTCTCCACTGAACCTTGCATTCCCCCCCTTGGGGTCCATTTATTTTGTCCCACGTGAGAAGGAACGCAGTTGCCGCTGAGAATCACAGCAGCTCTTAGCTGCATATAGCTTTGCTCTGCATCCCAGTGTGTGCGGCGTGTGTCCATGCACACACTTGCATGTGAAGCAGAGACAGGGAGAACAGTGGTCAGAGACCAACATGCAAAAGGTTGAGCGCATTCGCCGAGCAGGGTAGGGATGAAATACGATCACCAGCAACAAGACAAAACTTACCTCTGCCCTCCTTTCCCTCAAACCTCGCACTGCAACCAGGCCCTAAGAAGGCAAAGAACGCTTTGCCCCCTCCCAGCTCAGGAATTGCACCCCCCTTCTTTTCTCAACCCGTGTGTGCACATGCGTGTGTGCGGGCATCAGAAACATTTTCTCCCTTGCCGTTCTGAAGTTGCTGTGAGAACAAGAAGAAGGGCTACTATTCCCCCCCACAGGAGGATCAGGACCCAGAGACTGGACCACGCACTGTCCAGGATGGTTGAGACGGAGGGTGGCTCCCCTCACCTCCTGCTCCCCCCACCATGTAGAGCATTGCTTTCCCCTGTAGGAATGAAGGGCAGATGCTCCCCTGAATCCACCCTGTTGAAGCTAAGCAGGACTGGCCTGAGCTTGGCGGGGAGACTCCCTGGGAACCACATGGAGCCATCTTGAGTTCCACGATGCAAGAAAGGTGGGAGCGGGATAGAAGTTAATGCATAAATGAATAAATAATAAAACTGACGCTCCACCTTTTTGAGTCAGATTGGCCCCTTGCTGCACAACTCAGGCTTGAATTCTATTTCGTGCCCAGAGTGGGTCAGCGAACTGGGAGCATTCTGATATATGCAGGATATTCAGACATATTCAGGAGTGTTACTCCTGTGCAGTCGGGATGGTGAAGGGGTGTAATTTCCATCATGAGAAGGGTCCCATCTTCTTCTCTCCCAGTTTTCAAACTGCACCTATGATTATTCTTCATGAGTACATATATTCCTGTCCAATTCACTAGATTTTCCACAGAATAACTACTCCTGCAAACAATCAAATAGGTCTAGGTCTTAGATGTTCATGCCCAAGGCATCTACCTGTTTTCTTTTTTTAAAAAAACGATTAACCAGCTTGATAGCATTACTTTTTTATACCTCATAATAACTAAAGGAACCACAATGAATGTTCTTAAAATACAGTTTTGTTCTCATCTAATTGTACTTCTATCAAAGAACAAGTAGATGTTTTGGCTTACAAGTCCCATCAGCCCTAAGCAATATAACCAAAGCATAAGGGATGATGTGAATGGTAGTCGATAGAGGTGGCAGAACTGGCCCATCCCTGCAAAGTCTTGGCTCAAGGCAAGCTCCTTACTGAAAGCTGAACAGGAATCTCTGCTCCTGTTCCAAAAGGCACATGTGTATTCATTGCCCCTTCACACACTTTCACCCAGGCTTCAAACAGGCTTAACAGTGAAATAAATAAAGAAAAAGATAATCCACATTCTGGACCAGGAAACATCAAATTCTGCAGTAATCAATCTGTGAGGGTCAAACTTTTTGGGCACCACTGGATCTAGCCTAAATTTAGAACAAAAGGTGGCAGCTATTCCACATCAACCAGAATTAAAGTCTGATGCTGGTGAAATAACCTAAAGACATTTTTGCAAAGGTTGTGCTGAGATGGCTATTCAATGGGATTGAAATACTTCCCATTCCAGATCCTTAACTACTGCAAGCCTAATAGTCCGAGGGCAGAGATGAAATGATGGTGGAAGAGGATACAATGGGACTCAGGCAGAAATAGGCCACGGCCCTCAACCCTTGGAGCTAAGCAACTGAAGGGCAGAAGACATGGAAGATCAGTGTATGGGAAGGCACACTCTATGATGCTGCAAGGCAGGAGATGCAGTAAGGTCAATTTAGGCAGTGGGCATAGTTTTACAAGGTTCCCATGCACTGTGTGTGCTGCCCAGAGTCCCATGGCATAAAGGAGGAATATCAATATAATAATGTTTACAAGCGACAACAGGCTGGAAAGAAACTCCTGTCTTAATGAAAAGCAAGTAAATGCCTATTTTTAAGACCAACCCACTAATTTGCTACAACACGTTTCTCTATTTGCTATCCTATTTTACCTTTAGGAGCTGTGTTCTTAAACCTTCGAAAGCCCTTGAATTTTCAGCGTTCGTTCCTTGCCCCCTTGCCAAAGCTCAATTACCGTATCTCCCTAAATGTTAAATCATATTCTCACTTGAATAACTGGAAAGGTGGGTTGGACAGGATATATGCAGGGTGCGCATGGTGGGGGAGCTTTGGATTTTTAAAAATCCAGTATTTTGGTGCTCTAAGGTTAACAGTCTCCGCATGATACAGGGACATTAACATGCATAGAAAATGGAAGGACGGGTCATGGTTCATTGGGGGACTAATTTCCAGCAGATGGTTGGTGGCTGGAATCCTTGTGCAGAACGCTGAGCCAGGTAGCATGTACTCTAATTTGAGTATTCCCTCTTGCTCTGTAAGTTTAATACAAACACGCCACATGGACTGGGGAGCATTTTCCTAAGAAACATACTCATCTATTTTGATTTACTTTTTCCCCCCAATCTTGAGTTTGCTTAGTGCACTTTTTAAAAGTCAGCATGAAACTTCATATGCCTCTTTGTGTGCTCTTCTCCTAAAGGAGACATTTTCTGCATACAATTTTGCCTAAGAATTATTGTTTGCAAGCAATACCATCATGCATTTTTGTACACTAGTTTTGGTGGTGTATACAAAAATCCACTGAACTTTTGACAACTCCTGATTTAAAGCAGATCCCACTTGTTGACAGCATCAATGTCACAGTTTAAGTGCAGGGTTCCCAAAGCAACCATGGCACTGATAAATTGGGAGTCAGCATTTCATCACCACTTGACGTTCCTTGTCTCCTCCTGATTTTTCAAGCTGGCCCGAGAATGTTGTTCCCTCCTCACCTGCCAGTTATCTCATTTAATGAGTTGCGAGGGATTACTGTCAAGCACTTTACCTCATCTCTGGAGGCAGAATCAATTTCAGCAGCCAAGGACTGGGCTTTTGTCTGTGTTGCAAAAAGATTCTTGGCTTCATAAAGACTAAGACTAAGGATCTGCCCATTAAGGTCATCATTCTGATCACGAAGCTTCTGATTCTCCTGTCAAGAGAGGAAAGAGATGAGAAGAGAAGCGAGTTTCACAAGAGGCCAAACAAGGAACAATTCTGACAGCCAAGTGACTTCTTTCCACCCTTCCAGTGTCAAGATTCTGGTGCGATGGTGCAATGCATAGTCCTCATGCAATGGACTGCTTTCCTTAACCAGCACACCCGTGATGGTCAAAAATATATGCAGACTTGTCCCCTTGATGTCCTTGCAAGTCACAGTTCTCAATGGGAGAAAACGGCAGTTTCTACCTTCAGTAACACAGGTAGAAACTAACAGGGCAAGACTGCATAGAAGCTCAACTGTGAACAGTTGCAGAGCTGTCAATTGACAATTACTGGTAAAGGGTAAGACACCGGCACACTGAAGGGCCTGCGAACAAGACTTCTCCCTTCATAATGTAATCCTCTGGATTTCAAGTGCGGAACTGACTGTGCCCTCCACATTTTCAACACACTCTCCAGCTACTAACTTTCCACCCATTTCCACTTACTCTCTGACATTTCTAGAAAGAAACTTTAGGAGGCAGCTAGATGGGATGGAGTGAATGCGGAAAGGCTGGGGGGCATAAGTCCCAGTAATTCTGGCACCTGTCTGCTCCCTTGTGTTCTGCCACCTCTAAGAGTTTGTTTACTTGACCTCCCAGGGCTCCCCCGCAACCCCTTGTGATGGGGCTGTTACTGGTGGTGTCCCAGGTGAGACTGGGTAGATTGACAAAGGGGATTTGCTCTTCTGCTGATCAGTTTGCTAGCCTCTCCCTGCAACCCACAATAGAACCATCCTCCTGGGTTTGATGACAGTCACTCATTGTTGATTGAATTGCCCCTACAACAAGCCATGGAATAAGCCACTCTTCAGGAAGCACTCTTGGTTCAGATGACACGACCACCCATCATGGCCAGTTACCCATCATGGGTTGCCATGTCAGGTGGGCCCAGTCGTAGGAACCTCGTGACTATGAATTTACTACTTCCTCTCTAGTTCCTCTCTAGGGGCCCCAACTATGCCTCACCTGCTTGAGCCGTTTAATTTCATGCTCCATTTCTACTTCTCTGGTCTTCGCATTGAATTCACTCAAGCTGGAAGAAGAACTTCTCCCACGGCTGGGCCGCTCACATTCAAGCTTGTACAGCTGCAGATGTTCCAGCTCCTTCCTCAAATCCTCAATGAGCTGCACAGAAACCAGGACAAAAAGGACCCATTTTTGACCGACAGATCAACATCTGAAGAACAAAGTCAACTGACACACCTAAGGTCAGAAAAATCTCTGATGGGAGTAGCACCAACACACCCAAGAGGTCCCACTGAAGACTTTCACAAAGCAGTTTTCAGGTTTCCTACTCCCAGAAAACCCTTGCCGCATCTCTCTGGCTGTTGAAGCACTTTTGCATGCCACAATGGATTCTGGGATGCACTCAGTCAGATGTTTTTGGATTGCAAATGCTCCACATGGGCTGATCACACACCTAGAGTTGGGGGGCAGAACCTCAGGCCCAAGATCCCAATCCAGCTCATCCGAGGTTCCAATCTAGTCCTCCAGCATTGCCCAGATGGCGTCATATCCTTTCCCCTCCTGCTAATGGTTTGCTGGCTCCCTGGCCTTTGTATTTCTCCACATTCTGACGTTTGAAATGCCTCTCCTGAAGCTTACTTGCTGGCAGGAAGAGCCTTAAGCCGAAATGCCCTGGCACTTTTTTGTCCCACCCCTTTTGCCTTCAGCCCTACCCACCACACTGGAATGTGGCCCCCGAGAGCTTCTCCGATAGGGAATGCAGCCACAGGGCTGAGAGAGGTCCAGCACCCTTGCCCCAGAATGCCCCCAAGGTGTCCCTGTGATGGTGCATCGCAGCAGGGAAAGGGAAGCGTAGCTGCCCGTCTGCTAAACTCCCCACCAGGCTCCCCTCCAGTGAGTTCAGTAGCACTCAGTTTGGATCAGGCTTCAGACTGACTGAAGAGCAAATTCAGGAACAGGTGTGGGGAAGCTCCCTATCACTCCCCTCCCTCTCTCCATGCCTTTCCTCCTCCAGCACCAGCCCACACCACTGCCTCTGCCTTCCCAGACGAGGTGGGAAGGCAGTGGGGATCCCTTGCCAAAAGGCCCCGGCATGGCCATAAGCCGTGAATACAGAGCAGACGAGGCTCCCTTTGCCAACAGAAGTTCATGGCCTCCAGTAGGAGAAACCCTTTCTGTTCCCAGCTTCTCTTGCAGCACCCATTTGGAAAACTGGTTACAAGGAGGCAGGTGGTGGATGGGCTGCCCAAGGCTTTGGACTGGAGCATCATCGAATTCATTTGGGCCTGAACCAAAACGAGCCGCATCAGACCTACTTTGCATGCAGACATTCCAGGTTCAAGCTCCCCGTATCGTCATGACTGAAACCCTGGAGCTGGGCATCCAGTCAATGGAGATACTTCTGGGCTGGACAGGTGACTGGTCTGATTCAAGATAAGGTGTGGTTCTGTTCACAGAACTCATTTGAGTTTGGCCTGTTGTGAATGGCACCTATGGGGAGTTTTCCCATCACTGGACAGTCAAGTTTCTAGCCTCCCTGGCAAGTCACAAATCCCAGGGTACTGTGGCAGGTGTTCTAGGCCAGGCTGGTCATTGATGGGCTTGCTTGTTTGTTAAATCGGTATCCTGCCTTGGGGCTAACAGCAATAATATAAACAACAACAACAGCAACACAATAAAACATATTAAAATACAAAGACAAATGTTTAAAAGGGAGGTAAAACTTTTTTTAAAAATTAGTTTACAAAAGAACTATTCAAACTCCAAATACAAGCACAGTTGCACAGATTTAAAATTTAATGTTTTGAAGGATGATTTCATCAATTTTAAAATTTCATAGATGAAAACTTATAAAATGTCACATATGCAGATTTAAAACTATGAAATATTTCAGGAGAAAACACTAACTTCAGTCACACACAGGATCATCACATTCCTATGTAAAAGCTGTGCCAGACCAATCAGGAACAAGGTTAAGCCTCGAGGAGGGAACTGGGGGTGGGCAGCCGGGGTGGATAATCAGGACCAGTCAAGCTGGCTTGTTTCATCTCATCTTTTAGCAGGTCTCAGCTGATGAGTAAACACTGGCTCCTTAATCCTTCACCTTTGAAGGCTTCGTGCATGGGCTGGCACAGACATCTGCACTGCAGTTTTTCAGCCAGCCTGCTGAGTACCATCACATCGACAGTCAAGGTGATGGGCCAAAGGGCTCTCGAAATAAAACCCAGAGAGAACATCTGCAGGGCCAGATCAGAGCTGAAGTGAGCCACTCCCAGATCAGCCCAAACATCAGACCCTGGAGCTCTTCATTCTGAGACCCCAGACCACAACCTCATCTGCAATCACTGATCAGCTTCTTGTAAAACTCGGGATTAGCACCGGACTATCTAAAGGAATTCTAGGAACATGGCAGTCTGAAAACCACTGCCAAACTTCATCAGGAGTTCACAGGGTAAAATTAGTCCTGGGCTGCAAGCAAAAAATTACCCACCTCCTGAGTAGCTTCCCTCTCCTTGTTAAATTGCAGCCTGTTCTGTCTCAGTTTGTCCATCATTCGTTTATACAAGTCCATCTCATCCTTGAGCCGCAGACTGGTATCTTCTAATCTGTCTGACATTCGCTGTCTCTCCTGAGGAAAGTGAAAAGTCAAAGTGCAACTTAAGAACTTTTATTTATTTATTGAAAACTTTTATAAACCATGTAATTAGCAACAGCCCGCAGAATGGTGTACAAGAATTAAAACTGTCTAAAACCAAAATCAAACATGGTAATAACATTTATTGGGACATAATATCCCCCAACAATGGCAATAACAATACATAATACAAGAATAAAAACCAATTACAGAATGCCAATGACCATATAGATAAAATCAATCTAAAATCTGATAACATTATTTAACAATTAAAATGCTGGGAAAATAAAAGATTTTGACCTGGCACCAAAATATATAAAGAGTTTGTGAGAAGTAGAAGATTACTGTGACTAACAAACTAAAACAGGTAAAGCTATGGATCACTTAGTGATTAATAAAGGTATTGTGATTAACGGACTAGAATGGGTAAAGCTATACAGATCACTTCGTGATTAATAAGAGTATTGTGACCAACACAAACTAATAGACTACAAGATGTAATTGGCAGACATGGCATTAAACTTTTGTACTTAGAATCCAAGGTACGGCTGCATAATAAGCTAATGCATATTAGTGGTGCCTCCTACTATGACTCAGAGGGTTATTAACATGAACATGGGACGTATGAGCAGGTGGGGGTAACATACCAAGGAGTAGTATGATGAAGGCGGACAGAGAAGAGTGTGAACTCCCAGTATCCCAGCCAATGGGAGAAAGGAGGCGGGGACTTTGTGCTTGAGTAGGGAATAAGAGGCTGTGTAAACTGCTCCTCCAGTGCACTACATTTGGGGTGAGTGCCCGGTCTGGCCAGAACGTATTAAACTGTTGCTGCTTGGTACTTTGCCTCCCGTATCGTCATTGCTTGGATTTCATTCTTTACAGTTGGTGCCAGATACATCTGCCTTGGGAGCTGATTCCATAACAGGGTGCCACTGCTGAGAAGGCCCTTCCCCTGGTAGCCACCCTCCTTACTTCCTTTAAAGGTGGCTCCTGGAAAGGGACCTCTGTGTGTGACCTTAGGGTCTGGGTAGGTGTATATGAGAAGAGACATTCCTTTAGCTATCCAAGCCCTAATCCTAAGCCTACCCAGGCCCTAAGCCTTTCTCTATATTCAGAAAAAAACAGGATGTATCACCTTCCTGGAACTCTGTCATTTCATAGAGCAGATCAGGGAAACATGCATGTCTGAATGCTCCCTATATAAAAAGAGTTCAAACAAAAACAAAACTTCTCATTGCATATGCAAAACTGTGATGGCCCGATCAATGTAGTGTTAGGGACTGCCATGCAGGCCTGCTAGTGTTTCCAGAATACAGTTTGCCACACAGGGAAGCATTCAAACCTGTAAACCCCCCACCTACATTCTGGAAGAGGAACATTCCAAACAGGCTTGTACCATGTGATGCCCAAAATGTTTAGCTCCATCCTCAGGTGCCCACTTCCTTTCTCAGAGTGCAGGGTTGGGCATCAAATAGATTGGAATTTGTGAGAGATTGGAGAAGGTTTCTGACTCCTAATTGTTTAATAAAAATGTGTTCCCTAGGAAAACAGAAGGGTTGCCGAGACGAAGAAAGCAAAGGCAAGGAATGGAAGTGTGTGTTGTGTGTAGGGACTATGAGCCGTGTTCTGGAACAAGAAACAAACTTCCTGGACTGAGTACATGCTTAAACGCATTTCTTAATTCCATGTTAGCCCCATTTCATGTCCCAAGCCAATATGATACACCTGGCTATGGCTGATAGACCTTTGGGATCTAGCAAAACCCTATTGTTCCTCGTTACATTTGCTGCTCAGATGTACAAGTACTTTTCCTGCCATGGCAACATTGCTGCTCCACTGTTGTAAAGAGCAACAGACTTGGCCAGGACGCCAGTATCTTGAATGTAGAACTCATTCCACCTGCCCTTTAATAGTGAGGACTGAAGACATTTGCAGTGACGAGAACTCGGGGGCCTGATAAATGGCATCATGTCATTTATGAATCCCTTCTGCTGCACCAGTGCAGGCAACTAAATTGCACGTTTCTACATTGCACGTGTCATATTTTGTTCTGACACTTTGATGAGGCAGTAGCAAAATACACAACTTGCAAGCAAGTAGATCTAGCCTTGATTTAAGCAGTGCAAAGTTGATAACAATCAAAGTTTGAATTGGCTCAGCTGAGGATATGCACTGTTTCTGAATGGGACATGTGGCAAGGGGCAGTGTGGCACAGTGGTGAGTGCTGGGCTGGGACTTGGGAGATTCAGGCCCTACTTGCTACTCTGTTATAAAGCCTGTTGGGTGATTTTGGGCCACTCACACTCTCAGCTTATCTGATCTGGTAGGGTTGTTGTGAGGATAAAATAGGTTTCTTGCAGGAAAAAGGCGAGATATAAATCTAACAAAGAAATCAGTAAACAAATAAAATAAGAATTCAAGAGCTCTGTTACCTCATCCAGTTTCTCACTTTGTGATTTCAGCCGTAAGACAGTTGTTTTAAGCTCACAGTTTTCCTCTTCAAGCTGCTGAACCCTGAAGCAGAAAAAGAATAGGGAACGACTGTACACAAAAACTTGGCAATTTTTATGGATATGAAAAGTGTTGCTTCACTAGTTTCCATCATGGAACTAAATGAAAAGGCACTGGCAGAAGAGGGCCTTGAGCTAAAGGTACAGAATCTTAGAACCCCCACAGTGCAATTACAGAATTTTAAGATCAATAGCTTCTGCATATAAGGAAAAGCCCCTCTTCTATAGGGCAGAAGCCTAGTTGTCCTAAGACTAGTTAACACTCAAGTTCTGCTTGCCATGTCTGCACTCCAGACTATTCCCAGGACAGCACATGCAGGGAGGAGTCACACAGGAGCAGGTATACATCCGATGGCTCTCCTGCAGGTGTAGCATCATGGTTCAAGTGCCTGACCAGGACTACAGAGGACCTGGCTTCCAATCCTCACTCAGCTGTGAAACTCACTAGGTGCCTTTCATCCAAGGACTATTTCTCAGCCTAACTCAGAGTCAAAATCACTGCTATTTGTATTGGTGCAGTGTCAATGTTACTAGAATTGCAAGGAAGAAATGACAATGCATGTGTGAAGGAGCCCTCAGTACCAGCAAAGCAATAAAAAGTGTCTTAACAGTGCCAGTCTGAGACTGACTTTAACAAGTCATTTATAGAGGCAAGATTAGCACCGTTAGAAATGGTACCTTGTGTTCAGCAGTTCAATTTCCGTGCTCTTCTCTTTCTCGTACTTGCTGTATGCTTCCCTGTGCCTCTTTATTTCTTCTTCCAGGGTCTGCTCAGCTGATGTTTCTTGGTCTTTCAACAGCTCTTCTAGCTCATGGACCCTAATGACATTATTTTATTTATGCAACACTTTGAAAGGCATGGGTGGAAATAGCACGGCTCTTTATTTAGTATCAACGGACTGCTTTGTCCCTTTGTCTTTATTCTCTGTTATGTGCTTCTCTCCTTCTGGCTCAGTATTTCAGCAGCGGCCTAGCCATTTGGGCACCTTGCACTGCTGTGCCTTGCCCGGCCTTGACAATCCGGCCAGACTCATCCCAAAATAAACATGCCCCGAGGCCCGTCTTTGTCTTTGCTTGATCTAGCTGCTCTGTCTGCACCGCAGGGTGTGGTGAAACTTCCTTGCTTCTCCCTGTAGTCACAATGGTTTTTAGACTTACGATTCATTGACTGGCAGTGATGGCTGGTTGACAGTGAGCAGGGGGAGAGCTCACACACAGCAATGAACTGCTGTGAAACATCACAAGCTTAGTCATGATGCTTCAATGCACGAGGTGCTGAATTCTGCTAAGCTGTGTCAGGAAAATCCTTTTCTCCTTCTGAGTGGGAGGGCAGGAGATTGCGATTTCTCGTGATTATGCCCACCAGAGCTTAGACATGCAGCCCCCATGGAGACCTTCTTCCTTTCTGAATCGGCAGGAGGAGCAGCAGCTCCGCTCCCTGAGAGGAGCAACTTCTCAGGAGCGAGGGCATACCAGGCTGCAGGCCTCATTGAATTAGAGCAGAATGGGAGGCCAAAGAAACTCATTCTTAAGAGACCTCCCCCACCCTTCACCCCCTGAATTGCAGCTCTGGCATATTTTCATGGCGTTGCTGATTGGAGGAAAAAGACTTGGCTCCCAAAGCAAACAGGCGGAAAACACAACTGCCGGTTATCACTTCATTAGCTGGCTGAGTGCTTTTGCTCCACGGGTTTCTCATTATAGCTCTGCCACTGGAGACTGCAAAAATGTGGCTGCTGCAATAGACCAGATTACCTGTGGACTAACTGCGTGTTCTCCTGTTTCAATTTGCTCTTCAGGTCACCGTTGGTCATGCTATCATTTTCCAATTCTGTCACTTTTTTCTCCAAATAAGTCACCTACAGAAAAGGAAGAGGGTGTCAGCGGCTTCCCTACCAGTCTTGTGAAGGGGAAAAGAACTGCGAAACGATCAAGCTGGACCTCCCCAGCTCAACAGTGCGAAACAGGCTTCCCCAGCCGGGTGACAGCCAAATGTGTTGTACTACAAATTCCAGCATTCCTGTCCAACAAGGCCAATGCTCATGCTGGCTGAGGATGATGGAAAATGGAGCCCTGACATAAGGAGAACACAGGTTTGAGAAGGCTCATAGGTTACTAAACCTACATTATTAAATAGGAATCTACACACAAACTCCACAGAGTATTATTTCATCACCCACTTTGCCTGCATTAAAGTTCTCCAACAGTCCCCATATAAAATCATACACAGACTGTACTGGAGCCAAGACAGCATCACCCCCATAAACTGGCAGACGCATCAGCGTGTCTTCGGTTTATCGGCACATCCCTAGAGCCTTTCTTCTCAACGATGCAAAGAGGACCTCTCACCTTTTCCGTGATGTCGTTGTCACATGAATCTATGCTGTCTCTGAACAAGTCCTCTGTGCTGCCATTGCTGCTGCTAAAGTTGCTGTTGTGGAAGAGCTGTCTGTCAGGAAGACAACAGGAAAGAGATCTGACCCTTTGAACCAGCACCGGGTAAGGAAGTGGGCTCTGCATGCGCCCTCGGGGGAAAAGCCTCCAATGTTGAAAAGCCACAGAGAGGACTAACATGATCAGTGCAAGCATTTCACAATAACTCGCCCAGAAACTTTGCTCTGTTCAAATGCTTTGCAGTGACACGTGTGCTTTGGAAGTAACCGTGAAGCCATCAGCCTGCTACTTCCAAGCATGAGAAGGGTTTCTTTATGCTTTTACAGGCAGGGTAAGGTGGGCCCAGGACCTGAGACAAAGGACAAGAGGGCATCCTCAGCCACACCTTGCCCCATGCATAGAAATCCAGAGGAATCTTCCTTAAATGCCGGCAGTGGGACAGCAGCCTCACACCTGGCGCAGCAGGCTGGTTTTGTGCAGGCAGGACAGGCCAAGTGGCAAAGGCAGCTCTGCCATTCAACAGATCACCGGATGGTCAGGAGCGGCAGCTCAAGAGGAACAGCCGGCAGATTAACCCCTCTGCCTGGCATGTGCATGTCTGCAAAGTGGGGCTTCTGTGCATCGCAGCAGACAGGCAACGGACCTCGCTCTGCAGGTATCTGCACTCTATGCAGGTATGCCAGTTGGAGGGGCTAACCAGGGCGTCCCCGCGCATGTGTTGCTTTTACCACATCTAGACCCTAGCTTGGTCTTCCTAGTAATAAAATTCCCACCAAGATTGCTGGGGATGATGGCAGCTGAAGTCCAATGATAGGATTGGAAAAGAGGAAATACTCATGGCGGATGAGACAGGAATAGGGCATGTCCTATGCAGCCAAGTAAAGTGCAGGACCAGGTCCTCGGATTGCCAGGGTTTCCTTCCCTGAAGGCAGAATGATGAGGAGAAATTCAAGAAAGGAAAGGTCTTCCCAGCAGATAGCAAGCCAAGTTGTACTTGCTGGTTTCTTTACTTCCAATTGTGGTGCAGTGGTAGCTCTCAGTACATCAGTCTGATGGCTCAAGAGGCTCTCTAATTCTGAATAAAAAGTAGATTGACCCAATTGTTTTTTGCAATATTTAATTTAGATACTATTCAAACTCACATGGTTCTTCTTTAGCCATTCAAATACAGAAATGCCTTTTCATTTAAGGAAGGCTAACTTAATGGAACAGTTGGATGAAGAAATGTGTTTTGTTTCTTACCTTCCAAAAGCTGTACTAGATATTTTTCGGTTTGGGCTGGAAGATATAAAAAGGACAGGCATGAAACACATTTGGTTAATCTTAATCTGCAACCTCTTCATTATAACGGAGCAATACTGTGCCTCAGGAAGATACTACGGCTACAGTCCAAAATAATCCTTCAGAGGGACTAAGTCTGACTGACAGCATGTTTCAGAGTGCACCACAAGTAGTGGGTCACAGGGGTTCCCCTTTCACTTTCATGAGTATAGTCCTATGCACACTTACACAAGAAACAAAAGTTTAAGTCTTAACTGATCTCTCCCGTGACTAGAATCAGCACCAGCCACCACCAGAGGAACTGTTCAAAGCAGATTTTGCAAATCTTTATATGACATTGGTCATCTCTAAGGCACCATATATTGTTGTGGGGAATAATAGTTACATATGGACAGTTTGCTAAAAAAAATAAAATAAAATAAAAAATGCACCAATGTGCCTACACTGGCTTCACAGAACAAGAACGGTCAAATCCTCCTTCAAAACCGTCAGGGCTTTGGGCTTGTCTCTTTAATCCTTATCTCCATATGCAGGAAAACATGAAATCTGCCACATATGAAATGGAGCGGAGGCTTGTGGTGCCAATGTCAGTAGGGTGGTGTCGTCACTGCAGGATTCGGTCTGAAAATTAAAGGAACTGTCCATAGTGCTGAACCCATTGAGTGGTTATTTCTTCAGCACCACGGACAGTTCCTTAAATGTTAGACAAGCATCCCCACATTCGGGGCACCAGGCTCTAGAGATGGATACATTTGCCCACATTCATCCTTCCCTGCCCTGTTTTCCCTCTGTCCATTCAGAAAGCCCCCTCCCTGAGAGAAAGCACAGGTATCTTAAGTCTCAGGTGTCCTGGACAGGGATGGCGCCATATCAGTGCAGATGGAAGACCTGTGTATGTAAGTACAGCTCTGCTGGGTTCAGTCTATCAAAGCCCATCAACCCCAGCATCCTGTTCCCTACAGCAGCCAACTGCAGGCTTCTGGAAAACCCACAAAAAGGACAGGAGCATGACAGCATCCTCCCAGCGGTAATTTCTGACAGATGCTACTTGGAGGCAGTATACACTGCTGGAGGCACTGCAGCAAGTGATTATAGCCCAGAGGCCTTGAAGCCAGGGAGAACTTCCTCCTCCACGAATTGGCCCACTCTCCTTCCAAAGCGGTCCAAGGTGACGGCTGTCGCTACCTCTTACGGCAGCGCATTTCACAGTTTAATTATGTGCTGTGTTAAGAAATAAAAATACAACCCCAGGCAGTCAATGAAAATAAAGCCACTAGAGAGAGCTAAGCATTGAGAGAGCAGGGATTTCTAGAGGTTTTTTAAATGTCAGTTGCATAGGTCTTTGAAGGGCTTCAAGAAATCTGCATTACTAGTTTCTCAGGGGCGAGCAGAAGTTGCCAGAAATAGCTTCTGAATGTTGTTGCAGGAAGCAATCTTCCCCCTCAGGATCATCAACTTCTTGCGTTTTATGTGAATGGGGCCTCATGTAACAGAAGGGAAAACAGCCTTGCAGAACAGGCAGGTGGCAAAAGACTTAAGCTGAGAGAGAGAACGAAAGAGGAGAGGAGAATGCTGATGAAGACAAAGGGCTAGAGCAGTCTTTCCCAACCTGGTGCCCTCCAGACATTGCAGACTATTGCTTCCATCAGTCATGCTGGTTGGAGCCAATGGGAGTTGTAGTCCAACAGCATCAGAGGGGTGCTAGGCTGCAGAATGTTGATTCAAATATCAACAAGAAACAGAGAAAGGCATTCCAGCTACAGAAGAGAGCTGATCAAATGATGGAATTAAAACTATCAGATTCATTCCAATTATTAATTCTCAGAGGTCAGACCTAGCTCACAGTGGCAAAGCTGTTTGGCAGTGCTTGGGCAGTTGCTGCCTGTCAGGTCTTGGAGGTGGGTGTGTGTCAGAAGTACAAAGCAGGAAAACTGCAAGGGCAATTTTGAAGCAGAGTGCGGAATAAAATCCTAGGAATAGTTTCTCTAAAAGCACAAAATGCACATTCAGGATCTCTGATATCCCATCCACTCTGCCCGGGCTTGTACGAGGAATCCATTTCAACAGAGAGGTCAGGTGCAGAAGCATCAAAAGCTTAGACCCGGCCACTGTGATCCCGCACTCAAAATGCTTGGCTATGATAAATGCTTTGAACTGCCAAAAGGCTGCCTTGAGGACGTTGGGAGATGGCCAGTCATGCCCACTCTTGGGGAGGGAGTGGGAGAGCAGCTGCTCTGCATGCAGAAGGTCTCATGTTGGATCCTGGGACTCCCCAGGAAAGGAAAGCGAATCCTGCCTCAGCCCTTGGAGAGTCACAACTGGCACTCAGAGGGGACAAGACTGGCCTGAGTATAAAGCTGCTTCCCACATGCCTGTGCGCCCCTGCTCCTTCTCATAACCTAAGAAATCATTGCTCTTGGTCACTGGATGAAGCCTTAACTCAAAGGGCACAGAGAGCCGCTCATTCTGTAGTGCTGCAAGGAGATCCAAGGAGTCATGGAATTTCTCCGGCAAGGCTGGCCGAAAACGCTGGGGCTTACTGCTGCGCCAATATGCAGCAGTGAATATTCTACAGCAGTACAGTACGTGCTCTAAGTCCTGAAGATTAACTCCAACTCGTACAATCCGTACTGATAATTTAAAAGTCGAGCAAGACTGCTCCTGGTATGCAATGATCGGCCCCACCCGTATGCCTCCATCGTTTGCATGATTGCAAGGAAATCAAGTAAAAGTTGTTATTAAATCACGTCTCCTTCCAAGAAGATTCCGCAAGGCACAGAAAGGCTTCAGTCCACAGCCCTTAGAGAAGGGAGCATACACATGCTGCAATTTTGATTACTTGAAAGCAACCTGGACATAACACAGAAGGGAATGGGCTACAAGGGGGGAGCGTTTTTACTCCCCCCCCCCCATGTTTAGGTGGGAGTGAGCTTTTGTCTAAGAGGGTGAGGGAAAGCTTTGACCCTCCCCTCCCAGTGGGCCACAGTCCTAATCCAAATTGGGGCACTGCGCATTTACAGGAAGGCATGGAAAGTGAGCATGCACTGCACCACCACGCATTCTTGACTGATCATTTCGAAAGCTCATGGAAACCTTCCCAACCTGGCTCCTGGTGCCGATTTTCTGGCTTTGTTGCCTGTTGCTCGGCACACAGCTTTCTTTTCTTAGGGATAAGCAGGTGGCTGGTGGTGGGGCTGCGGGGAGGGGTGCTCATGCCACTGCTCCCTGCAGCTTGCTGTTCACTTTGTCCCATCACAGAGCCAGGCCTGTCTCCCAGCTTTAAAACAGTGAAGGTTTCACTTGCCTCCAAGCCTTTGGCGGTGCTCCGTGCCAGACGAGATGTGCAAAAAGGCTAAAATCTCACACACATATGGTAGCTGAGCAGCTTATAGTTAACTGTATTATACGTCTTAGGGTTGGAATCTTTAATTGGTATAGTCAGTAAATCAAAGCTGATTAAATCAGTGAGGGCAAATTGTAACTCAGTGAGAGAGCACACTGGTTTATTTCTTGAAGCTACTTTGCTTCTGGTGTTTTTACTCAGAAGAGAGAAAGAAAATGAAATCTTTCATGCTGTTCTTCCCTCTCAAAATATTTTTTAAATATAAAGTGTCTCATGCTTCCTGAAACTTCTCAAAAGGCATCAAGAATCAGATTTCACCAGTCTGCACATTTAGTCAGTTGAAAGCTGTAAGAACGTAAGAAAAGCCATGCTGGGTCAGACCAGAGGTCCAGCACTCCATACACACCACAGCAAACCAACTGCTTCTTCAAGGACGATGGGCTCCAGCCTTTCTCCTGCCCAAGTTCCTCTGATCATTTTTGTTTCCCTTCTATATGCCTTTTCCAACTCAATAATGTCCCTTTTCAGGTAAGGCAACTAGAACTGAACACAATATTGCAAGTGCACTTGCACCAAAGATTGGTATAAGGGAAGTAAGATTTTGGCAGATCTATTTTATATTCCAGTCCAAATTATGCCTGGCATGGAGTTTGCCTTCTTCACAGCAGCTGAGTACTAGGCTGGCCTTTTCATCGAGCTGTTCACCACTACCCCAAGATGCCTTTCTGGACTGCTAGCTCAGATCCTGTCCATGTAACCTTGAGGCTGGGATCTTTTGCCCCAACAGGCAGTACTTGACACTAGTTTATATTTTATTATTTATACCCCGTCCTTTACCAAGGTCCCCATTTGCCATTTTGATGCCCATTCTCCCAGCTTGGAGAGATCCCTTTGAAGCTCCTCAAAGTCCCCTTTGGTATTAACCATGCTAAAAAGTTCAGTGTCATCAGCAAATCTGGCGACTTCACTAACCGCGCCTATCCAGGCCAGATTAAACAGTGCAAGCCTTTGTAGTCCTACTCAGAAGTAAGTCCCACTGAGTTCAATGGGAATGACACCCAGGTAAGTGGACTGCAGTGTGACTGACAGTCTGATTCAGTTCACAGGCATAATCAAATAGCATTTTGCCTCACCATGACTAGAAACAATAAAACCTCACCATGGAAGAGCAAGGCATGCTTGAACTCTCCCTATCCGGATAATTGCAGTCCAACGGGCCACAACTCTGCTGTACTTTACTCACCTGTTTGCTTTCAGGTTTTTCAGCCTGGCTTCCAGGTCATTGAGCAGGTTGATTTTCTTGCAGCACTGGGTGCAGTAAACATCCAGCAGCTCACTGTTATAAATATGCCGCATTTTTCTTGGGGTCTGACCAGCACTGTTGGTAGAGAAACAAAAAGCGATGCCAACCAGGTCCTGCACACCTTGAGTCAAAAAGTGAGTGTCTTCTTTTTAAATAGGGGCTGTTCCTCTTAACATCATGTTTACAGCAAGCTGCTAGCCCCAGGAGACCATCATTTTTAAACACCACGCTCCAAAACTAGCATGCAAAATTTTCCCTCCTTCCCCAAACCCAGGATGCCCCATAAAATGTTATGTTAAAAGCCAATGCAGAGATGGCTTGATCTACAAACGTGCCATTTTTTTTAATCCAAAGTGATGAGAGAGGTAGGCTACAGATCAGCCTTCCTCAACCTGTGACCCTCCAGGGGTGCTAGCCAATGCCCATGGTTGGTGGGAGTTATGGAGACTTCAGTCAAACTCATCTGGAGGATGCCAGATTGAGGAAAGCTGCTTCCAGCATAGCCATTACCTCAGGGTAGGAAAAGTGTTTCAGCCTACAGGTGAGGCTGCTACATTGGAAAGCAGCCTCTTGGGGTCAAATGCCAGCAACAGGCATGGCCAAGTTCATTCTCTCAACCCATTCATGGAAACATGTGCACTCCATTCACACACACAGCCCTCTTCCAGCCCACCTCTCAACAGATAAACTGAGGAGGGATTTTCTCTGCTCAGCACTGAGAAGGAGGGTCTCTCAGCACTAAAGAGAACAGAACATTTGGTCTAGAAGATTGGGGTAGGACTTGGGAAGGGAACTGTCATACCAGGTGGAGAATTCCCACAGGCCATATAGGGCCCCTGGGATCAAGTTCTTCCATGCCTGCATTACATTGTGGTTGGAGTAAAACTTTGGGTTGTTTAATCTGCAACAGCCCAAAGAGCTCGGTTTAGTTTTCACAGTTTACAACCCAGGAACAGGACATTTCTGGGTTGTTTGGAAAGTAGATGCAAAGTGGAAGTGGTGAGCAGGTGGGAAGCAGTGTGCTCGCTCCTCCCATGCAGCCCTGCCAATTCACGGGTTATTTAAATAACCCGTGAATTGGTGTTACATGTGGACCAGGTCAATATTTTGTTTGCCAACCTCTAGTTCGTTTGTTTGTTCTGATGTTTGGATAAGATGGTGTGCTGTTTCCATCAATGTTTTTCCAAGGTGATGCCTTCCAGGTGTTTCAGACTACAGCTCCCATCCTCACTGATGTTTGATTGTGCTCAGCTGGGCTGATAGAAGATGTACTCAGAAATATCTGGAAGGCGCCAGGCTGGAGATGGCTGCCTTAGGGCTTGGCAGAAGTCATAGCAAGTGAAAGGAACGCAGAGGCAAGAGCTAAGTTTTATACTGATGAGAAACAAGGCAACTCACCAGAATCAACTTTGCAGGCAATTTCCCCCTCCCTCATGATGGGAGTGGGAAAGAAAGGAATATCAGAATGACACAAATGACAAACCTGGAAGGAACAGATGAACCAAGGTCAGAGTAGACAGTTGTTCTACTTTCATCGTCAGGGCAAGGGCTGCTGGGAGTAAAGTCCACATCATCTCCTTCTCCATAATCTTCAAATTGCTCTTCATTACTGATCAAGGAGGCAGTGGAATAGGTGGAAAGGTCAGATGCTGCAGAAGGGTTGAGGGGACTTGACCTTCGTGGGGGTGAGAAAGGGAATATCAGAACATAAACCCTTCTCCCCTGCCCCTCCTGCTTTTTCTAACATCTTGCCTGATGGAGAGATCTGGCGATCTCAGAAGCTTGCACATTTGTAGTAATCTTTTGTTTGGCCTAATGAAGGTATTATACTAATGTGGCTTTTGGAAGTTTGCTTAGGGTCAACGTGGCTACCTTTGCCTTTTAAAGGGTGGAAAGCAACATCTGAAATGGGCATGTAGTCAGCGCTTTTAACTCACTTATCTCCAGGCAGGAAGAGGCCACCCAGCACACCGTCCTTGTCCTCACTCCTGCATACATCCGATGCTTCCAAGCTGTGGGCACTTTCGATGGCACTGTCCATATCAGACTCATGGTGGACTTCCTGCTGGGCCAGGGTCATGTTGTCTTCATCAGGAAAGAGGTCGGGTTCACTGTACGCACTTTCACTGTCCAAATAGCCACTGTCTTGGATTTCAGGACCCTAGCAAAGGAAGAGAGACAGTAGGGTCAGCAGGCATTTAGGATTGGAATAGTGGAGGTGACGGAGTCCAAGGACTGCCCTTTTTAATGCCATGAACTTCAAGTCAAGTTGACATTCTGTGGTTTTGGCACATTGAATTGGCTTGGATCCTGCTATATGGAAACCACAACTTGGCAAGCCCTAGTTTAGCACATTTTGGGGGTGTGATGGGTCAGGTTTCAGGATGTGACTAATCGCAGTTTGGACACAACTTTTGTTTTCACCAGACCTGCACAGTGCACTAAAATGCACTGAATTAAGAATCCTCTATCCCATCCCACTGATTCTGAATGCCACAAAGTAAATGTCATTCCTCTCTCATCTTGAAAAACTTTTATCTTGGCTATTGCCAGGGAAAGTACAGCAAAGGTGAAGCTGAACGCAGGCAGCAGTGTTGCGAATTCAGGTAAATTGTCCCAAAGCCAAGCAAATTAATTGATGTTGTAAGACGTGAACTGCTAGAGAGCAGGGCTCTACCATCTGGCAATCAGCTGTGGTTTTAGGATCAGGAGATGGGGTGGGAAGAGAACTTAGGGCTGCAGTCTCATGCCCAGTTTCCTGGGAGGAAGCCCCCTTGAACTCAGAGGAACCTATTTCTGAGTAGACAGATGTAGGATCCTGCAGTTAATTCCCCTTCTTCCTGATATTGGGAGGTAAGCCCAGAGGGCTGCCCTGCCACAAGGTGGAACCAGCACGCCCTGAGCTGGAGCTTTGGACAGCCAGTGGAATCAAGTCAAGTAATACTTAACAGGCATCAGAACCTGCAGTTTTAGGTTTGCCATGCTTTGGAAAGTACAAAGACCACTTCTGACCTAGTATTTTTCCCTTGCAAGCTCAATCTGATAAGATGAATGCCTATGTCTTGAGTTTCAAAATGTTCTGTAACAACAGCTACCAGAAACACAAGTTCTTATCTGTTCCTTTTTTCCGCCCCCTGGGGGATTGTCAAGAAAGCCAATAGTGGGAGTACGGCATGAGAAACACCAAAGCAAGCAAAACAAAGAGTGGAGAGAACTAATTTTAATTCAGGCATTACTTATTTAAAATGTCTCCCACATTAAAGCGTTCCATGTACTTATGGGCAATGCTCCTATCCCATTCAACTGTGTAGTATAGAAACTGGCACTACAGAACTTCTGAATTCAGACTGTGAGTTAAACAACCCCAAGTTTGTTCTTAGGTTAACTTTGGATTGACCCTTGAACCAACTAATGTGCCTGGGTTCACATGCTAGGCAAATACTATCCAGCTGAGTGAATGTTACTTATACGAAACGGAAGTGGCTCATTCACAGCACACAACCCAACAATTAATTAACACAAGATCTGTTCCCATGATGTAGACACTGGTCCAATGACTCTGAAAGACTGGTTACATAGGCTAAATGTGTGAATTCCTTGCTGCTGCCAGAACAATGGGTCAGTGAGCCATTGCTGGGACATCAGAGCACAGGAGACCATTTCACATTGTTGTACATTGTCCTGAGGCTAAGCCAAGGACCGGTTCTAAATGTTTTAAATAAATAAATAAGTAAAACAAGGGGTGCAACCTTTGCAAAACATGGAAATGCTTGCAAGATCATAAGCTTCCTACACATTTGAGACCAATGCTCAAGTCATTACAAGAATTTAGTTTCTACTCAGTCTAGGTGAGATGAAAAAAGACAAGGCTAGCAAAAGGTCAGGTGATAAAATTGAGATATAAGATTGAAATATAAAAACAAATCTATTTTCTCAGCCTTAAAATATTGCAGAATAAAGGCTGCTGTATTTTAATGAACACTCAGGAATATGTTCTGAATGAGCCCTCCCCAACAGCTGTACTAATTGGAGATGATGGAAGTTGTAGTCCAACTTCCAGAACTGGGAACTGGGGTGGAGGGGAGGGAGGGAGGGAGGGAGGGAGAGGGAGGGAGAGAGAGAGAGAGAGAGAGAGAGAGAGAACATACTAGCTCGCCTTGGGCAATCTGCTTCCCCGTCTCAGCATCCCATCTGCAACAGGGAGAGAACAACCTAAGGCTTCCCCTGGGTTGTTGCAAGAGTCACTGAAATAGCACATACTAAGCATGCCACAAAATGTTATGCAAACTTATTTCCAGGCATGTGCAAACCTCAAAAGCCAGCAAGATTTTCAAGGAGCCTGATTAAAGGGGGAGCAGGAGGCCTAAGCATGGCAAGGAAGAAAGGAACTTGGTTTTTTCCCCGCTTGCTGCCTCTCTTTTGGCCATTATGTAGCGCAGTGATTCAGCCTGCCCTAGCATGGTGCCTCATCTTTCCCAGCCGGCGTAGCCCGCAGCTGGCAGGGGTGCCGTAGGTATGCAGGGCACCTGGCGGGGCTGGGCAAGATGCTCCGTTGTTGGCCGCCAAAGAGCCAGCAGGCCGGGGAGGACGGCAGCAGGGAAGGGCAGTGAGAGAAGCAGCAACACCAATCCGATCACTGGTACTTGGAGCCCCTGAGCTGAGAGACTTATACAGATCACGTGCGGAGGAGTTTGGAAGGTACCCTGAAGGGAGCGGACAAAGCCAGGAGCAGACCAAAAACAGCAGAAGCTGCTCCTACATATATCTATTAGGCCATCAACCATTATATATAAATTTTAATGTTTATAGATAAAGAAAGAAAGAAAAGGAGAAAGTTACCAAGAGAGCTTGGATGACAATTACATATAATATTAGATGTGGGACATTTCACAAAAAAATAATAAATTATTACATCTACCAATTTACAACTACAATTTTGACTTGGTACTATTTAGTTAAAATAGTTAAAATAATAATTTAATTAAATTAAATTAAGGTTAAATAATTAAATGAAATAATTATTACATAAAAATTGCTCTGACAAGGGTATCAAGTAAATAATTAATCTTATAATGTATCCACAAAGCTGGCAACAGTTAATTTATTTTTCTCAGATAAAACAATATCATAATTAAAAAGAAACTAAATTGCAAGAGCAATTATACTAATTTAATCATTGTATACTTAATACGTAACATCTACAGGTTCTGTTTTTCCTCTGAAGTGATGAAAAAAGTAGGCATAAAGTAGCCTTTCCATTTATTGTAATTTTTTTAATGTATATAGTTAGTCAGTAAATGTATCAGCAAAGCATTCTTACTTAAGTTCTATTTTTTATCTCAATTGTCAAGTGAAATATGATATTAAATTCTTTGGCTGGTCTTCTATTTATAAAGCTGGTTAATTTTGCCATTACTTCATATTCAAGCTAGCTTGTTTTTTCCAATCTTCACTAATTGGGCAGTCTTCTGCTTTCCATTTGTTGCAATTGTAACTCTAGCTATGTTATCATATATTTATATAATTCTTCCACATTTCTTGGAAGAGTTTCTGGCAGAATACTCAGTAGCATATTCTTAACTTTCAAAGGAAAGTTAACTTTCAAAATTTTCTCTACTTCAGCATGTATTTCTTTCTAACTTTTTGACCTTATTTTTGACCTTATCCTTATTTTTGACCTTATCCATCACTTATGGTAAAAAGTCTCATAATCAACTATTATATTAAGGCCTCTAAAGAGAAAGAAAAGAGAGAAACAGAGGGACAGGAGCACAGAGGAGAGGCAAGTTGAGGTGAAAAGAGGAGACCATGAACAGAATGTGAGAGGGAGGAAGGGTGAGAGGGAGGGTGAGAGGGAGGGGAGGGGAAGGAAGGAAGGAACACACACACACGCACACACGCACACAGAGAGAGAGAGAGAGAGACAGACAGAGAATTTGCTGAAGAAAGTGCCTTCACTGGTCTTTAGCACAGAAACAAAGCTGCTGTTGAAACTTCTGCATTTTCACTATTGCATAAAAAAGAAAATGGGGTTAGAGTAGATGGGCAGAAACAATAAAGAAAAAAGGCTTCATAACCCCTGGAGAACTTTGGTAAAGAGAAGTGAAAGTAAATATGCTCTGTAATGCATAAAAGCAGAAATTGTTCTAAAATTCCAGTCATCCATCCCTTCAGGACTACCCAGCAGATCTTCACCCAGGTGAAGCTGTTCTTGGAGCCCAGGAATCCCAGGTGAACCCCTGCTTAACCCAAACTCCCCTCTAGTAGATGTGACATGGATGGGATCCTGTTGCATTAGGGAAGTCTATGCCAGATAAGGAGTCAGTACTGTGGTCCTACCCTTATCTGCTCCTTAGGCTGCTCATTTGGTCCCATTTAACTTCAGAGGTGCAAAGAGATCAAACCAGTCAAAAGAAATCAACCCTGACTGCTCTTTAGAAGGCCAGATATTGAAGATGAAACTCAAATACTTTGTCCACCTAATGAGAAGGAAGGACTCCCTGGAGAAGTCCCTGATGCTGGGAAAGATTGATGGCAAAAGGAGAAGGGGACAGCAGAGGATGAAGTGGCTGGATGGGGTCACTGGGGCATGTTGTCCATGGGGTTGTGATGGGTTGGGCACAACTTTGTGACTAAACAAAAAACAAAACAAAAAAAAAAAAACCTTCAGAGAAGCGTGGCTTGCCCTGCCATCTGAACCTGGGCAAAATGTCTTGCTGGAAGGAGGAAAAAACTTCGCATGCCCACGGTTTGTTCTTGGATAAATGAATGGAAAGAAAGGCATGTGCAGGCACAGTGACCAAATGTGAAAACTGCTTCCTGAATGCAGCCCCATATAGGAATAGGGGAACATTTGGGAAGCCGATTATCTCCCACCCGCACCTTGTCACCAATAACCAGAGTCCTATGGGGCTATCAGCATGGAATATAAGTTAAACAAACAAACAAACAGTCTGGCTAACTGCAGGCCCATTTTTGTCCAACTTTATACTAAAAAAGTAAATTACATTCATTTCCTATAGCTGATGTCCATACATAACACTACAGAGGTAATAAATAATACTTGAAGTCATAAACCTCCAAGAAGGAATAATAAACAGCAGGCAAGTGCAGGTGCTGGAGCAGAAGGGAAAAAATAAATACATGGTATCACTTTAAAGC